TGGGGGGTAGGAGGTAATATCAAGATTTGAACTCAGGGCCTTCTGCTGGCTAGACATGAATTCTATCACCTGTGCCAGCTCTTTTTTGCCTTATACATTTTCCAGATAGGGTATTTTGGGGGAGAGGAGGGAGCTGAGGTTGGCTTTACAACATGATCTTTCTACCTATGCCTTCTGTGGAGCTGGGATTACAGACTTGGGTCACCACTCCTGGGCTTGGTGGTTGAGATAGGTCTTACTAACTTTTTGCTAAACTGGATTAAAACTGCAATCTCCCTGATCTCCTAGGTAGCCAGGATTATAAAAGTGTACCATCATACCTGGCCCCTTATCCCATTATCTTTCCAACAACAAAACAGGAGCACAATTCAGTGCTGGTGGTAGTAAGGACCTTTTAAGAAAGCAATACTATAAAAGATATACTTTTACTTCTACACTCTCTGATCAAAGAAAGCACTCGAGTATTTATTGCCATTTCATAGCCATTATGTACTTAGTAGCGTCCACTTCTAACACTTACCTTTAACCAATACGTGAGATAAAAACACTCTACTATTATATCAATCATTTTTATTCTGTCTAAATGTTCTTTTTAGATTTTTTTATATAGATTTCTCTGTTGGAATACACGTTTTTAAATGGGTATCTAGAGACTTGAAAGATAGTCTTATATGATATATGCTATGTGATACCCTCTTTAAAAAAATAAAAATAAAAAGCTGTGGCATAATGTTTTCCTCTGGTCTATTTCAGCCTTACCACAGTATGATTTTATGAGAAGCACTATGTCTACAAGATTATTTTTGTATATTACCTAGCACACAAAGTGAGTACTTCGGGGTTAAGGGTCTATTCATCTTTCAAAACTCAACTCAAGTGGCTCTGCTTTTTAGTTCTCCTTGGTCATGCTAAAAGGGCAGACCATGCATCTTTGAGTATCTACAGAAATCATTATATGCATGTGAAGTTTATATACTGTAGGATATCATGGTGTTTTAACTCATCTGTTGTAATTGTAACTTAAGTAGCAGTAAGTCCTAGAAAGTATATTAATTTCTAAAGCCCCCTGTAATATCTTGTTTTCATAAGTACTTAATATATTTTTGTTAAACTGATGAAGAAGCTTTATACTTCAGATTTCATATAACTATTTTTATTTGTAATATTATTTGGGGAGGGGAGAAAAGGAAAACATTAGGTAAATTAAGGAGGCAATGAGAAGTCTTCTTTGGGTTCTCTGGTGCTAAATAATAAAAGAGAACTTGGGAGCTTAGGGTGACCCAAAGTATCACCTTTCTCAGTCCTAGTGGATAACTTTATATGTCTATGAAGTAAAGAAATAGTTATTTAGAGAATGATGGAAAAGAAAGAAGTTGGGAATTACTACCACAAAACTTAGGTATGGATCCTGCCACTATGCAGTTCACTTGATGGAAGCTTCTAAATCTCCTGCTTTCATATACTTGTACACAGTATTGGCCATTCCTCGGGTTCTTTATTACTGTATGTTTGTACAACTGATTGTGATAGCTTTGGAAGCCGTTAGTCTCAGTTATAGCTGTTATTGTAATTATAGGATTCAATTAAATATTATGTAAAGTTGAAATGTAAGTAACAAATAAGTGGGTTTTTTTCTATAAGAAACAAGGTGAATGTTTTGGAAAGTTTGATAGGAGTTGATAAAACACCTGTGGCTCACACCTGTAATCTTAGCTACTCAGAAAGCTGAGATGTGAGGATCATGGTTCAAAATCAGCTACAGTAGGAAAGTCCTTGAGACTCTTTATCTCCAATTAACCACCAGAAAACTGGAAGTGGCATTGTGGGCTCAAAGTAGTAAAGAGCTAACCTTGAGTGAAAAAGCTCAGGGGCAGCGCAGACTCTAAGTTCAAGCCCCATGACTGAAAAAAAAAAAAAAGAGTTGATAAAACTACTGTTCTAGGGAGCAGGTCATACTATCTAAAAGGATTATATATTAAAAAAAAACAAATAAAAGGATTATATATAGCTATAGTGCTTCACCAAAGTCTAATTTGACCCTTCATTAAAGAAATCCCAATTGTAAATCTGTCTCCAAAGAAAACAAATTACTGGTATGATTTATACAAGAAAGAGGACAAGAAACAACACGTAATCTCCTATTTAAAAACACAACAATGGTCCCAAATGACAAGGGTGTTCAATAAACATAAAGCACATTTTTTAAAGTTTGAGGTTATATGTGTGTGTGTGTGTGTATAATTTATATTACAGATATTTTATGCTTGGTCTTTAGTAGGGCTGTTTTGACTACTTTATCAATTATCTTCCTTGTAAATTTCACATGTATCACACTTAAGAATATCTCACAGAAGTAGCACATAAAAATTTCCGTTTGGGCTGGGAATATGGCGTAGTGATAGAGTGCTTGCCTAGCACATACAAAGCCTGGGTTCGATTCCTCAGTACCACATAAACAGAAAAAGCTGAAAGTGGTGCTGTGGCTCAAGTGGTAGAGTGCTGGCCTTTAGCAAAAGCAGCTCAGGGACAGTATCCAGGCCCTGAGTACAAACCCCAGGACTGGCAAAAAAAAAAAAAAAAAAAAAGTTTCAGTTTCAGTCTTTTGACAGGTACATGGTCACGGTATAAAATTTTATGGATGATAGACTGAAAGCAAAGAAAGACAAAAATCTAACCCTAACAGCAACTATTTAGTATTTCTATGCTGCTGTAATAAACTATCGTTATCAATCTAAAATACTTTCACTATTACAATTTGCATTAGAGAGAGCCTATTATGTAATGTTGTTACTGACCACCATGAAAAGTAACATTATATTCCCCAAACAGAATTATAAATATTTGCTTAAACATAATCTTTTTTCTTCTAAGAATATATTTATCAGGAAGTCATAATTAGTGGAAAATGAAAGGTCTTAAAAGGCTAATATGCAGAAAAATATTGAGAGGCAATTGGTGTGATGTTAGGAAAAACTTGAGAATTCAAACTGATCAGATAGTTAAAGAGGCCAAAAAGGTTTTGTATAATTTCTTACATTTGCATATTTTCTAAAAATTCATAATGAGATAAAATAATTGTTTAATCTGTTGGGTCTAGCTACTTTGGCAAGTTATCTTGCATGCTAACTAAAAAAATGCTAATTTTACAAAATAAGTCTTATTTCAAATTACTTACATTAAAATGTCAAAACAAGTGTTTGAGATTGACATTTCATGTGGTAGTCTATTTATACTGCTCCATGAGTATTTTAGAATTCATCCATATTCTAGTTCTCATACTGAGTATACTCTAAAGCTGAACAAAAAGACCCAAAGATTTGCCCTAAAAATATCTTTATCACATATTCTTATAAACATACACTTTCCCCCTTTCCCATTAATTCTTAACAACATAATATAGAAACAGTTTGGTCCCCTGCTCCCCCAAATTGGTTAAATAGCTAAAAACAAAACTTTCTCAATACTAAAATATTTCAATTTTTCTTTACTAATTGTAAACAAAATATAAGATTGGGTAAGAAATAAATAGTAACATGAATGAATCTCATAGAAAATTGCTAAATAACTGTTCAAAGGCTAGAGAAAAGCATACTAGTAATTTGAATTCCACTTTTTATCAAATACAAAATTTTTACTAAGAAAGGAAAAAGGAAAATAAAATATAAACGTTTGAATCATTAGTTATTGTGATAAGGCAAAATAGTTTTTCCTTTCTTCCTTCCATTCTCCCTCCCTTCCCATTTTTGTGCATTCTACACTTGAGCCATACCTCTTGTCTAGCTTTTTGCTGGTCAAATGGAGATAGAGTCTCACAGACTTTTCTACCCTGTTTGGTTTAAATGTGATCTCAACCAAGTTTCAAGCCTCACAGCAGGTAAGATTATGGTCATTGAGCAATATAAATTAGCAAAGCAATACTTTAATAAAAATATACATACCTAACTAAATGTAAAACAAAGGGAAATTGCTATATAAATATACATATATATTCCCAGTACATTCTTTGATCAAGACTAATTTGAAATAGAAACTGATCACTGATTACCAGTAAAAACAAAATGTCCTTACTCCCCACAAAGTACAAATAAAATAGAATGTAATATGATGTTTTGTGTATAATTATACAAGTGTTTATGTAAAGAATTTTTATTTTAGGGGCTGGGAAGGTGGCTCAGTGGTAGAGTGCTTGCCTTGCACACATGAGGCCCTGGGTTCGATTCTTCAGCACCACATAAGCAGAAAAGGCCAGAGGTGGTGCTGTGGCTCAAGTGGTAGAGCGCTAGCCTTGAGCTGAAAAGCTGAAGGACAATGCCCAGGCCCAGAGTTCAGGCCCCATGACCAGCAAAACAAACAAACAAACAAAAAAAGAATTTTTATTTTAAATGTTATTAATGAGTAAAAAGATACTTGAGACCTGGTCCTTTTTACTGGGTATGTTTTTACTGATAACTGCAGATTAAACTTTTACTGTTTTTGTGTCTGTGCTAAAGACAGTATTTTTATTTCCTTTTTCCAACGTACTGCAATTCTAAAGTGTTTTAAAAGAAAGTAATAATTATAAGAAAGACACAGGTGGCTCATGCCTGTAATCCT